CAGGTTTGACTTACTGTGCCACAGTGCTGACATCTTTGAATTCAGTATTCATGCTTTGTGGGAAGATATCAGAATCTAATTATTCAAACTTTCACATTAACTATTAAACTTACATAGTTTCAATTTAACAATTCTTTCACATACTTTTATTTGGAATCAGTTTTTTAATTTATTCCTTTGAGATCTTTGCTTTTACTTGGAGATATTTGAAAAATTTGTGTGGTACCCGTGGTGTGATTTTGTATAATATCTCAACAGTTAACAGCAATGGGATTCAACCCTCTGCTTTCCTTAGTCTACATCAAACAGGATGATCTGTAAAAACTTTTCAGTGTAGGAAAAACAGCAAAATATAGAAAGTTAATTTTGGTTTGACTTGTTACTCTGACAAGTAACAATAAAAATAAATTGTTTCCTTCTTTAGTTACTGAATTTTTTTATATCCAATAATAGGTATAATTTTCAAAATTTAAAATCTAATGGATTGTTTGGGGGCTTGGAATGATTGGATGAGGTAAGGTAGTTTAGTTTGAGAACTCAAAGTTCTGTTTTGATTTCTAAGTTGGGTAGAAATGTCAAGTAATTGGAAGTATCATAGGCAAAAGAAATTGCTTTTTTAAAATCTACACTACTTAAAAAATAGATATAATTTTGAAAGATGTCAAACATTCATTAAAGGAAAACTCCAAATACTAGTAAGAATTGTTGCGCAGTACCCAGAGAATGGATCGAAGCTGTATCCATGTTGAGAGTAAAGAGTCTGATTTGCCATAAAATGTGGCAGATGTATGTATTGATAAATTTTATTAATCTAGGAATTACATGGAAACACCTTAATTTGAGAATAGAACAAAAAAAATTTCAGAAAATAAAGGAAAGAAAATCAGGTTTTAGAGTTGTTACAAAGGTATCCTGGGTACTATCACTGAGATGCAGGGAAAAAATACTGTTTTTCCAGTTACCTAAATCTTTGTCAGTCAAGGTAGTCTTTTAACATTTGTGGGAGAAAATTCTGATGGTGAAGAGAAAACTGGAGCAATTTTTTCTTCGGGTAAGAATATCAGCTGGGAAATTTTGAACAAAATAACAAATGCCATCAGTAATTGATTTGCTGTATTTGTTTTATATTCCTTACTTCAGTGAACATTATAGCAGTCAATATATGTATTTGCTAAAATGTTTTCCTGATGTACTCAAATTTTATTTAATATCTAGTCATTTAATTAGAACATAATTCAAGATTTTTCCCCACTTTCTAAATGTGCAGCTAATTTTTTCTTTCCCCTCCTCCTTTTTTTTTTTAAGGAATCTGGGTAAAAATGGCTTATCTAACAGTAGCATTTTGTTGGATAAATGTCCACCTCCAAGACCACCATCTTCACCATACCCTCCCTTGCCAAAGGACAAGTTGAATCCACCTACACCTAGTATTTATGTGAGTCTGAATTGACTGACTAGAATTCAAACTAGTGTTTACACCTACTTGTGTTTCATAAAATCTTTCCTTAAATAAATATGGATGCCCTTTAGGTAGTATAATAGTTATTGGCAGCAGCTTGAGTATTTCTTAAGGGATAAAAAGACATTTTGTACTAGTTCTTATAAAAAGCCTTATCTGCTATTAACCATAATTATATTCAAATAGCAAGAAATACAAATACTTGAATGCTCTCCTAATTTTGGGTGGTACAACACACTACTTAAAAGTGTATGCCCCTTTATGAGTAAACTGGGTTTTAAAACTGTGTTCTACTGGTTTTGTGGGATTTAGTATTTTGTTTTATGTATCTACCAAGTATATTCATATGTGTATAATCTATCTTCAAAAACAGCGTGAAGAACACAAAATGTGGTAAGATGTATCACTAAAGGGTTACTAACTAGGTTATTTAAAATGTTTAAAAATTGATGTTAGTTTTACATTATGAAAATTTTAATATATGCTGTAGGAAGTTAGTACGAGTTTTATCAAAACACCTTCCATTTAGATTTCTCCCAAATATGTCCTGCTTGAGTTTGCTTTCAAAATTTGGCCACTTTGCCCTGTTGAGGCCAGATGAGTAATCTTTGCAACAACCAGTGGTTATTTTTTATTATGTAAGAAAAACACTGGAATAGACAAGTAATAAAACTTTGGGAGTCTAAAAGATAGAGTTATAAAATTAAGAGCTATCTTCTTATGAGTCTTTTTCAGCCTATATATGTTTTGATAATAGTAATTTGAATTTAAAAATATGAAATTTTGAATTTTATAAAACATTTTGATTCTGAAATTTACTGCAGACTTCATTTCTCTTTCATATTTTGTTCAAGATGTAATGGACAAGAGAAATAAGTTTACTGTCTAGTTATAGTCAGCAGATATACTACATAAGATGTTTTTTGTTTAAATTTTGATAATATGGGTTTGAGGCTTAATATTTAAATAAAATCTCTCTCTGAGATCTAACCACACATTTTAATTTTGCAGTTGGAAAATAAACGTGATGCTTTCTTTCCTCCATTACATCAATTTTGTACAAATCCAAACAACCCTGTTACTGTAATACGTGGCCTTGCTGGAGCTCTTAAATTAGGTATGCTTTAATTCTAAAAGTCCAATGTTACCTATTTCTTTTGCTGCTTTTTAAACCATTAGCAGAAACGTGCTTGTATTTCCCTTAACTTACTGTACATTTTACCATTTTCTTGACTCTGTGCATATATCTGCATATACATGTGTATATGTGTCACTTCTTTAATCCATGTTCTGAAAATATGATGGTGAAATTGATTACTGATGATTTTTATGAGAGTTTGCAAATTTAATTTTTATTTTGATCTAATTATACAGTTATGATATTGGCTAACTAATAACAGTAAAACTTTGGTCTTCTCTTGGTATGGTAGGAGGTCCTGGTTTTCAATATTACATCATTCTGGAAACTTAGCATAGAGAGTAGAGAGGCTGTCTTTGGTCTGTACAATGCTACAAAATGTTTTCGCTTTCTTAGTAATGCAAAAGAATGTGCTTTAAATGTTGCTCCAAGCATAATTTTTGTTGATTAACTGAAATTTTTTGTTTATGAAGATCTGGGACTTTTCTCTACGAAAACTTTGGTGGAAGCTAACAATGAACACATGGTAGAAGTAAGGACACAGTTGTTGCAGCCAGCAGATGAAAACTGGGATCCCACTGGAACAAAGAAAATCTGGCATTGCGAAAGTAACAGATCTCAGACTACAATTGCTAAATATGCACAGTACCAGGCTTCGTCATTCCAGGAATCATTGAGAGTAAGTCTTTACTTAAAGATTTTGTTTGTTTGCTTTTGTTGTATTGGAAAGTCAAATATACAGAGGAGGCAAGAGAGAGAGGAAGATCTTCGTCCAATGATTCACTACCCAGGTGGCCTCAATGGCCGGAGCTGAGCTGATCAGGAGCCAGGAGTCTCCTCCAGGTCTCCCACACCGGTGCAGGGTCCCAAGGCTTTGGGCCGTCCTCAAATGCTTTCCCAGGCCACAGGCAGGGAACTGGATGGGAAGTGATGCTGCTAGGATTAGAACCAGCGACCATGTGGGATCCTAGCACATGCAAGGCAAGGACTTTAGTGGCTAGGCTATTGTACTGGGCCCCACCCTCTACTTCTTTCCCAGGCCACAAGGAGGGGGCTGGATGGGAAATAGACCAGCTGGGATAGGAAATGATGCCCATATGGAATCCCAATGCATGCAACATGAGGACTTTAGCCACTAGGGTATTGTAAGCTGTTGTGCTGGGCCCAGGGTGCATAACTTTGGTAAATGGTTCATTCGTTTGTGTTATATGAGGTGCTTTAAGTGCCTATCAGTTTGCTTTTAAGTCTAAGCAAAAGTCAGTGTCCTGATTGGGAAATAAAGCTACTGTTTAATGAGCTGAGTCCTTTATTTTTAGATATTTCTGTTTTTGAGAAGAATTTCTTTAGCATTATTGAGGCATTTGGGGCTAATTTTTAGTGTAGGGGTCTATCCTGTGTTGTGTGAGTTGTTTGTAGCATTTCTACCCTCTGAACAATGTGTTCAAATGCATCAAATATCCACCAGAGGGGAAAGGCGCCTCTAATTGAGAACCGATGAATTCAAACTTCATGTTTACTGAATCCCTGGACTTCTGTCTGCCCCGCACTCTTCTGCCAGATTAGTGTCATGTGGTAGACAGCTGTTCTAGGAAGCCTTAGTGTGCTTATATTAGAGTATAAGAGAAAATTGAAAGGTAAATGGAAATTTAGAAATGAGAGCAGATGGAAAATATAGAAGCAGTTTTGAAAAAATAATCAGATTATTAAAAGACTTGTATAAACCTTTCAGCACTAACGTATTACTAAAATCATTTAGTATATTGAGAACTTGGTCAGTTACTTCACAAAGCATAAACCATCACAAAAATTAGTTTATTAGATACAGTCTCAAATTTTGTGCTGTTTCTTCACATTCTATTGGTGACATTTAATGTGGATTTGAAAATCTGTAACTGGATTCACGTCTGACTGTTAGAAATGGTTCAATTCTGTCCTGATTTGTATTTCCAAATCAAGGCAAAATCTGTATATGTATGTTCCTTTCCCATTTTGACTACCTATTTATTGCAAAATAATTCATCTACTAAGATCTGTCTTGCAATTTTGATGAGTTTCAAAGAGTTCTTATCTGTATGTAGTTCAAACTCTAAGATGCTTCAAGTTAGTGGTAATTTTATGCTCATAATAGAATAAATAGCAAATGAAATTCAGAGATGTAGGAAAATAAATTTAGAGGAACTATTGAAAACATAACATTGGATGAATATTTAAATTGGAAGGTACTGATAATGGAAGAAAGATTATTATGCTTTGAGACAGTAAACATTACAAGTGAGACATTTGAGAAGCACTTAGAAACCATACAGTTAGTGTGCAGCAAAGTATGCATTGCTATTTCAGAAATCATAGCACACTGTTGAGAAATAACTTGTCTGTGACAAGTGTAAATAAAATTACTAGACATTTTAAAAGAATTTATGTTTAGCATTTAATCCCTTTGCTAATATTGTAAATGATAAGCTGTGTATGATTCTTTGTGAAATAAGGAGTTAATTCTGGAAGAATTTGCATTTGTCCATAATTAAGAATAGGGAGCATTTTAAATTCCACCATAACACATACTCGGTGGGAATTTATAAACATCACAGAACAGTGGAATCAGAAGATAAACTTGTTTTGATGTAAAAAAAAATATTTAGATATACACATAGCTTTTTCATAGTATACATCTTTTGTAAACGTTTGGAAGACCTGCTGTTTATGTTCATGTGAATGAGACTTCTTAAGCCTGTCCATTTTTCCTTCTGTTTTTACTCTTGAAAATGGGGTGGATCCAGCAGCATGGCATCGCATTACTAGCATCCCATATGGGTCCTTGCTGCTCCACTTCCTGTCCAGTTTCCTGCTAATGTGCCTGGAAAAGCAACCAAGGATGTCCCTGGTGCTTGGGCTTCTGCTCTCATGTGGGAAATATGGAAGGGGCTCCTGGCTTCAGCCTGGCCTAGCCTTGATTTTGCTGCCATTTAGGGAGTAAACCAGTGGATGAAAGACCTCTTTCTCTGTTTGTCTGTGTGTAACTCTTTCAAATAAAATCCCACAAATATGAGAATTGATAATATAGGCTTACGACTAATAGAGGAGGTTAAATACCGTGCCAGTGTGATTTGACTTTTTGCGAGTCTTCATTTAATAAGGTCATAAAGCAATTTTCACATGTAACAGGTCTATGGAAATACAATTTCAGGATTAGAATTTCCCACAGCACTTACGATGCCACCTGAGATGTCTGTATCCTATGTCAGTTCAAAACCCGACTCTGTGCTTGATTTTAGTTGCCTGTTTGTACGTGGCCTGTGAGGCAGCAGCTGATCTTTGAAGTAGTTGGGTCCCTGTCAACCATGTAACACACCTAGATTGAATTCCCGGCTTTGACATGACCAAACTCTGGCTGTCACAAGCATTGAAGTAGTGGACCTGCATTTGGGAGCTCTTTTTCTCACTGTGACTCAACTCAAAAATACATTTAAAAAGAAGCTTAGTTTCAAAAACAGACATTACCTTTTAGTCTTAAACATTTCATTCATGTGATCGAAAGGATATCCAGTTGTAAAATACCAAGTCAAAATGCTTTTGTTTAATTTATAGGAAGAAAATGAGAAAAGAAGTCATCATAAAGACCACTCAGATAATGAATCTACATCTTCAGATAAGTGAGTTATTTTTTGTGTCAACTTGGTATTTCTCTTTAAAATGAATGTTTCTAATATTGCTTGTTTTGTTTTTTAAGTTCTGGGAGGAGAAGGAAAGGACCCTTTAAAACCATAAAGTTTGGGACCAACATTGACCTGTCTGATGATAAAAAGTAAGTTCTCCTAATATTTCTGTTAACTTAGTTAAATATTCTTTGCAAGATTGAAAATCATCTACAGTTTCTTCTATTTTGTTCATTGTCATTTTTTACTAAGTAACTTTTTGTTAGATTTTGCAATTGTTTCTTTTTTTAAAAAAGAATTTTTTTTTTTATTACAAAATCAGATATACAGAGAGGAGGAGAGACAGAGAGGAAGATCTTCTGTCCGATGATTCACTCCCCAAGTGACCACAATGGCCAGTGCTGTGCCAATCCAAAGCCAGGAGCCCAGAACTTCCTCCAGGTCTCCCACATGGGTGCAGGGTCCCAAAGCATTTGGCTGTCCTCAACTACTTTCCCAGGCCACAAGCAGGGAGCTGGGTGGGAAGTAGAGCTGCCAAGATTAGAACCAGCACCCATATGGGATCCCGGCATACTCAAGGCGAGGACTTAAGTTGCTAGGCCACTGCGCCGGGCCCAGTTTTTGCAATTATTTTCTTTAACTTAAAACTTTTGTGGTTTTTTTCTTTAAGACCCTATGCTAATTTTATGATCATAAAATATTTGTTTTAATTTTGTGATATGAAGCTGGTATCGCTAACGTAAAATTTTGCCAGACAACTGTGAAAACAGAAAATTAATTTTTACATTTACTTGACTCATAGTTTTTATCCTTTTTTCCATTATGACGTTTTCTTTCAATCAGTTTCAAGATTCGAATTAGAAGAAGTGGTTAATTTCCGTAAATACAAATGCTTTTGATCTGTTTTATTGCAGGTGGAAGTTGCAGCTGCATGAGCTGACCAAACTTCCTGCTTTTGTGCGTGTTGTATCAGCGGGAAATCTTCTCAGCCATGTTGGTCATACTATACTGGGTATGAACACAGTGCAACTCTACATGAAGGTTCCAGGAAGCAGAACACCTGGTAAGTTTTATGAACGTACATGTTTCAAACAATTGAAACACAAGATTACTAAACTGTAAAACATGGAAAGAGAATTAGAATCTTTCCATTATAAGATTAGATTCTTAAAGCAGAACTCTTAAAACAAGACTTTTTCCCAGGGATTCCTTATCTTTTCAGTGAGAGTAGCCTAGAAATAATAATAACAATAATGGTGATGATGATGATGATGATGATGATGATGATGATGATGATGATGATGATGATGATGATGATGGAGGTCGTTGGAGCAGTCCTGGGAATGTCAATGTTTTTGGCCTAAACACTCTGTTGTTGATTCATCCTATCTACTGTGGAAAGGTGCTAAGTGTGGTATTTCTGTTTTTTCTTTTTCTTTTTCTTTTTTTGCACAATAGCAGTAAAAAGATACAACATGACGTAATGTCCTTATGTTTATATATAAGTTTCATCAAAAAATGTATTTTCAAACCTGTTTCATTTTCTTTCCTTTTAAAAGTTAGACTCCTCTAATTGAGTTAGAGTTCACAGTTTATTTCATTATTATTGTTAGTAGTAGTATTTCCATGATATGGCTTTATAGGTATACGGATTCCCCTCACAACTCCCTCTTCCTCCCTCCGCATTTCCTGCCTACCCCCACCATTTCCCCCCATGTTATTGCAGTAATGTAGTCCTTCAGTAATAGTCACAAGTCCAGCATTCTGCTATTTAGTGTATCATGACATTGTAGGTATAGGCAATGGTAGAAAATCTAGGATCATATTAGAAGAGTATAGTAACAGTTCTGTTTGGGAGTACAGATACATACTGCAACGTAGCTTTGCTTTCTGTTATGCTAGTCTCCATTCTACAGTTCATTATGAGAATATATGTGTACACCTGTTTACCTATATGTCTGTTTATCGTGTATTTTACATGAATGTTACCTTAAATCAGAGAGAACATAAAATACTTCTTGTTTTGGGATTGGATTATTTCATTGAGCACAATGGTCTCCAGTTCGGACCGTTATGTTGCAAATGTTAGGATTTCATTCTTTTTCATGGCTGAGTAATATTCCATGGATTAGATGTACCACACTTTCTTTACCCATGCCCCTTCTGTTAGGCATCAAACCATTTGTGATGTGCAGACATTACTAGACTCATCCTACTGTCTTGTCTAGACTTTGCCACTGAATAAACTTGTCAGTTTTGGAAAGTCAAATTCCTTATCTGAATCTTTGTCATTTTAAAATGAATTAAGTTAATATTTTCTCTGTCCTCCCTTGGGTTGACAGCACATTTCACAGGATGATACTCAGAATATGTAACAATTACTACGATTCTGCATGTAGCAATTCGAACATTTATTGGTACCAGCCCACCTATTCTAATACTTGCAAAATGCAGGTCTCTCTTAGATGTCTCTGTTTGCTGCTTGAACTACCATGGTTTGAAAAGCTTCTTTGTTACCTTACTGACTGAATAGTAGTTTAAGATTGATTTAAAAATGAGATTGTGTACTATTTCTGGATAACATGGATTAGTGATTTTTTGGCTGGAATTTCCTGGAAAGTTTTTTAAAAATATATAATCGATAAAGATCTGGGGATTGAGCTCCAGGCATGAGTTTTTGATTTGTTTGTTTCTTTGTTTTTACTGTTTCCCTCAGAAGATTTGATTGCACAACCAGTATTGTAGACTTTGAACCATTGTCTGTGTTTTGCCCATAGCTGGATAAAGTAGGAAGAGTTCTGGAATAAATTGCAGAAGAGCTAACATTCTACTCTTCACTTTGCCATTAGGCATAGATAAAAATATTGATTAAGCTATTTAATTATTTTTCTGATGTATTCTCTGTTGGTAGGCTCTAATAAGGTTCATTTTAATTCAGAACCAATTTATGGAAGAAATGCTGCAGCACTGTAATTAGAACAGTTCAACTTAAAATACTTTGTTACGGAATAAGCACTGTATCTGCGGTTACATAAGTCACACCTACTGTATTGGATTTTTCCATCCTACATAGGTTTTCTAAACTGTAGGGATATTCTTAGTAACTACTCCAAAATTTTTCTTTGTATGTAGAATCATAGCATCACTAGTTTTAGTTAGAGCTAATTTTTTTTAGCGTTCATGTCACAGGGTTTTCCAATCATTTCCTTCAGTAGCAGCTGTTGGTTAATTCTGATTATCATCATACCACTATGTGATAGGGTTCCAAGGTAGGCAAAATAAAGAGAAACCCTTTGGCATCAGTTCTTGGGAGAAACCTAATTAGGTGAAATTGGGCACCCACAATTCCTTGTGCTGAAGGTCCATTGTGCACTTTTCTGAGCAGTTGTTACAACCAACAGTAGACTTTTTAAGTCTCCAGTGGTGCAGTTTGGGCCAAGGTAAGTTAAAGTATCACAAAATTCTACTAAAGTTAATGTGCCTTTTTCCTTATTACACATTGTCTTGGTAACTACCAACAGTGGAGGCATCCAGCCAGTGAGCTTCTGAGGTCCGCAGAATGATTTGATCTGGAGCTGGCAAGGCAGCTGAAGGCAGAACTCATAATTCCTTGAATCTATAGCTAATTTTTTAAGTTGATAATTTTGTATATCCCATGAATGATGGTATAAATATCTAAATGGCCCTCGGCAGCAAAAATGTGCCTACACCTACAACTTGGCTTGTCTCCCTGAGTTCTGGCAATTGTTTTCGACAATTTTAGGTATTTTTTTTCGGTGCGTCCTGGATCTGGAGAGAGCTGGATCTTCAAATCCTAGCATCTCTCCTTGGAGCCAGAGACATTAAAAGCCAGGCTTTGTGCTTCTTTTAAAGTTTCCTAATAGTTCTTGTAAGAAACAGAGATATATTCACAATGAAACAAATGGTGATACATCTACAATAGCTGCTGTTTATTGTTTACAATTAACACATATTATGACGTATGCATTGTTTCATTGATCTTCAACATAACAATAATTTATAGAAATTACAATTTTGTACTATTTTATATATACGGAAATGGAAAGTCAGAGAAGTGTAGCAGCTTGTCCAAAGAGCTTGATTACAGAACCAGTTCTTAACCATGATTTAAAGTGTGTCCCCTAGGAGCTCTTCCTGAATAAGTTAGGAGTTAACCAAACTCAATTCTAAAACCAGAGCTAAAACACAACAAAATGCTGCAGGAATAATGAATTAAATACCACTGCAAGGTTCTCTGTTGGATATTTTTAAATTTTAATATGTTTCTCTTTCGTTCAGATTTATTTTATTTCTTTGAAAGGCAGAGTATCAGAAGAGATCCAGTATCTGTAGGTTCACTTCCCACATGGCCACAAAGGTCTGGGATGGGCTTGGTTGAAGCCAGGAGCTTCTTCTGATTCTCCCACACAGGTGCTGTGTTCGTAGGCTTGGGGATTTTTCTGCCTTCCCAAGCACCTTAGCCGAGAGCTAGATCAGGAACAGAATGACCAGGATTTGAACCACTGTGCTGTGATAACCTGATGCTGGTGTCACTGGGCATAGGTTAACTCACTGCATCAATACCAGCCCCTAAGGTTTCATTTCTGAAGACATATTTGATAAAATTTATAGTCTGCTGATTAATATTTTATCATTACATTTCAGGTCACCAAGAAAATAACAACTTCTGTTCTGTTAACATAAATATTGGCCCAGGTGACTGTGAATGGTTTGTTGTTCCTGAAGGCTACTGGGGTGTTCTGAATGACTTCTGTGAAAAGTAGGTTTCTAAACTAAACTTTTCTTAAACATGACAATTAGAAAACAACAGGCGTGAAGGACAACTTACAAAAGCTGGCTATGTTAATAGATTTATGCCAGTTTTCACTTATATTATCTGGCAGTTGATTTCCAAAAATTGATTCCAAACCTACTGTGTTGTTATTGAAAATTTTTCGAAATGTCAAGAAACTAATCCCTGTAATATTAGTAGCCATGTATTTAGGTAGAATGATTAAGTTTATTACTCAGGTTTTGAGGGGTGATACGTTTATAGTTGTTCTTTTGAAATGTATATATTCTAGAAATTGTTTTATTGCAAGTGGTTTTTAGAAGTACTAGTAATTGTAACTAAACAATTTGTATAGGTTGTAAATATCTCAGGCTTGAACATAATATTCCTTGCCAGTGTGACTTAAAGTTTTGAAAACTAACCACTTTTTCTGTAAGAGAATTTTATAAAATTTAGTTAATTCAAATCTTGTTTTACTATCATTGAAAGAATTTACATGGTAATGTTTCTTTAAGATTCTAAAAGTAATCTTCATTCATTTCTTTGTCTTATACTGAACAATATCTTGATAATTTTTCCCTATTGGTTTAACTCTAATCGTCTAGATCAAGGCTAATTCTCGTTGTAAAAGGTATTATGTAAGTACCTGGTAATTTTCGTTTAGTAATAATATTGGAAGATTTTTATTGGATAAGAACATTACAAATTATGACCATATTCATTACTATGTCTCTACCCCAATTAGGTAAGCTACCAAAAATGTTCACAGAAGAGATTACTGTAAAGGCTAATTACGTGTATATTCTGCATACTGATTTTCAATTTCTTACTTTGGCTTTGTGATCAAGACTATAAATATTTGGATTAGTAAGAAGCGCATGATAACTGAAGACCAAAAATAAATCAAACAAAATTTCTTAATCATTTTATATTGTCTTTAGTATTTAATAACTACAAAAGTCTTCCAAAAAATTCATGCATAATATGTGTTATAAAACAGTACATGAGTTTCAAAATTTTTTGCACTGAAGCAAAAGTAGTTTTTCATTCAGTTCCCCTATGTACTTTTTGAAGTGCCCTCATGGGTTTTCTACAAGTCTAAGCATGCCAAAGGTGAGCATTTTGAAAGTTTCAGATGCACTCGTGAAATAACCTGATCCCTTTTTATTTGTATTTTCTTTTAAGGACCAGCAGCTCAGTAGCAGCATATAAAAAAGTGTCATTTGGGAAATTCTTTTGTGCTTAGAGGATTTTTATTTCTCAAAGTTTGAGATAGTAGGATATCGTTGTGACTAGTAAAGTGATTCATCCTTCTTCATTATTTTGAGTAGGGATTGGCTATTTTTAAGTGGAGAGATGTCTTGTAGCAAAGATAATTAGAGTAAGCAGATTATCTCCAAAAGGCTTGAGCTTGGAGGCAAATCAAGTTAGTATGAAATGTTAGATGAGTACATTTGGAAACCGAATCATAGAAATAGCGCTTGTTAACTCTGCGTTGTTGTACTTGTTGATTATTGCCAATTGTTTGCTTGCTTTTTGATAGTTTTTTTTTTTTCTTCAAATTTTGTGATGTCAGTTCATGGGTAAAACAGTACTCAGGTTTGTGTTTATAAGAATTTTTGCTTCACAGACAACTTTGGACAGTATTACTCAAGACTTTTTACAAATACTAAGTCCAACTTCACCCCCTGCGGTTAGGCTGCCTTTGGTGTCTGAGACCTTGAAGAGTAGGCCCTGCTCTCCCCCCCCCCCCCAAGGATTGAAAAAAAAGATTAAGACTCCATCTAATGGGCCAGATAATAATAAATATGTTTGGCTTTACTTGTTACATGTTCCTTATTCAAACTGTGTCATTATAGCATAGAAGCAGTTAGAGGTGATGCATATGAGTGTTTATGATTATGTTGTAATAAAAATTGTATTGGCAGAACTGAGAAACAATCTGAATTTGGCCCGTAGGCCATAGCTTGTTACCCTTCACTTATGTTTAAACAAAATCATTTTAGCTTCAAACAATAAAAACAGTTTCATGGCACCAAGCACACTTAATGATTATTTTCTGAGATCTTAAGGGAAAGAAGCATTTCTGCCTTGTAAATTCTTCCTCAACATTTACAGTAGTTAATTGATGCATAGAATTTTTTGAGTGAAAAGTTGGTATATAGTTAATCAGTTCTTCACATCAATAGGGAGAAGTAAGAAGCCAGATATTTTGACAAAAGCTTAATAATGTGATCTGAAGAGCATTTACAAAAATATATTCGTTGTGGTGGTAATGTCTGTGGTTATTTGTTTATGTGTATGTGATCATTTCTGATAAATTTCAGCTGCATAGTTTTGATGAACTAAAGATTGAAACTGTAGAAATTGACATTCCCCCTTTGCTTGTAAATAATCCAAAACAGCAGGAAAGACAGTTTCTTTTTCTTCTTTCTCTCATACACTGGGGGAAGCTCCCAATATTTAGATTGTGAGAATGTTCCGGTTTATAGATATAAGTGACTTGATGTTAACTCTAGCAAAGAATGATTCAATCAAAACCATGGTGAGGGCACTTCAGAAAGCTCATGGAAAATTGGATTAAAACATAGTTAATTTTGGTGCCAAATAATTTTGAAACCCGTGCTTAGTTTTTTCATAATATGAATGTTTTGAATTTTCCCTCCCCATGTTAATATTACTTCAAAGTACATCTGGTTTCCATTTGGACCTTTGGAAAACCAATTTGAGGTAATTATTCGGATCTTTTGATAACTCATCCAATATTCGACTGTTAGTTCACATTCTTTATAGACGGAGTAATTTTCATTGTGGAGTGAACTGAGTGAGCAGGTTTTTTTTTTTTTTTTTTTAAGCATTTGATATTTTCTTCCAGTCTTACAAGAAATTAATACTTGATTTGTTTTTTTGTTTTTTTTCCCTTCAGAAATAATTTGAATTTCCTAATGGGTTCTTGGTGGCCCAACCTTGAAGATCTATATGAGGCAAATGTTCCAGTATATAGGTTTATTCAACGACCTGGAGATTTGGTCTGGATAAATGCAGGCACTGTTCATTGGGTTCAGGCTATTGGCTGGTGCAACAACATTGCTTGGAATGTTGGTCCACTTACAGGTATTTTCAAGAATATGTTTCTGAAAAGTTTATAAAAGATTCTAATAAGTTTATTTTTTTCTTGAAATGTGATTCATTAAAAATTGGAGGAAGAATGTCTTGAATAAAATTTGATTTATAGTATCAGAAATTCAGTCTAACATAGAGATCAGACTATTCATGTCAGCCGATAGCAAATTTATATTTTTGTGTATGTGCAGATATACTCTCAATAATTTTATTTGGAAAGCCCCATTTTGGAGGTAGCAAAGTAGAAATTCCTTTGTCTCTTATCTAGTATGTTACACAGATAGGTCTGGTATGTCTAGCTATTTGAGTATTCACGTCAGCATAATTTGGCCTTTGAAGCCAGAAACACCTGGATTAGGACCAGGAGCTGGCTGTTGTAACTTTGGGCAAGTTATTTAACCTCTTTGGTCCTCGATTTCTTCATCCATATAATAGAAATAATAAAATTAATAAGGTAAGGATTAAATGAGAGAGAAACTGAAAATGGCACAATGTCTGGACATTGGTCACAGGAAGCCTTCTTTATATGATGCTATTGTGGTTATCGGAACTTACAAAATATCAAGATTATTTTCAAAGAATTTTGAGTTTTTCAGAATTGGTGTTGCAGATATCACCTGACAGAGTGATTAAATGGTAATCTTCATATCTTTGGTACTTTGAGTTGCTTTATAACTGTTTTTTTTTTCCTAGCCTGCCAGTATAAATTGGCAGTGGAACGGTACGAATGGAACAAATTGCAAAGTGTGAAGTCAATAGTACCCATGGTTCATCTTTCCTGGAATATGGCACGAAATATCAAGGTCTCAGATCCAAAGCTTTTTGAAATGATTAAGTAAGTGAATTCTAAAACTGCTGTAGTCCCTATCTTTTTGGGGAGTGTTAACTATTACTTGCTTTTCCCCCCGTAGAATTATGCTAACATCAAAACAAAATCATCCAAATTTATAGTAAAATGTAATAAGAAGAAATCCACCTGCTAAAAATATTTTTCCCTTCCACAGTCAGCCCACTGTGATACAGAAAGATCAAAGGCATGGGTGATTGTAAAACAGCAGATTCACAAACGTGTGCTTTCCCAACTCCTTGTAAACCCATCTGAGTTTCACAGAGAACTTTAATTTTAATAGTAAAATTCTGCCTTTGGTAACTGAGGATGAATGACAGCACAGAATAATTGCCGTTACCAAGATTTCAGCAGTTGATTTAAGAATCTGACTAAAGAGTTAATTTTAATTATCATTTTATAATTAATTATTCCCTTGTCTTAGCTACTTTAGACACTTTAATTCACCTTATATAAATAGTGATTTAGCTTGAATACATATTCTTGTAAGCTTCTCAATTATTGCAACAACCTGTATGCTAGTCATTTTGTAACTCAGAGTTAATAGTTCCCAGCAGTGCTATATAGCAGTTTTTTCCTAAATTGTTTTATGTTATTTCCTCTACTCACCAAAGTTGAGAATTTCTGTTCAAAGCTCAAGTCCTTTATTTTAAAATTTCCTTTAATATTTATTAATATATTTGGATTTTTAAAAAAATTTATATTGTATGTGTTCATGTGTTTGAGTGGGGTTGAAGAGTTAAATGTACTGCATTTCCCAAACTTCTTTTACCAGTATCTTTTGAAGAACAAATCTCTTTAACAATTCCTTTTGGAACATACTGCTTTATGTTTTCTGAAGAAATTAACTTGTCTTCATCTTTGTTAAAATAGCGTTTACATTAAATATTTCTCCTGCCAATATATTAATTTGGTCAGCATGGGTTGTTTTCAAAACACTGTCTTGAAAGTAGCTATGACATTAAGATTATTTCAGATATAAATTCAAAATTTTATCCAAACAATGTGTGACCAAATTAACATGCCTGTGAATTATCTTATGACACAATCTTTCATCAGATCCTTATCTATTCCCTGGCGGAAGGAGTAGGGAGAAATAAAAGATGAAAAACAAATCATGGTGAAAGATATTAAAATCTTTTAAAACATTGGATCTAGGCATCATGTTGTCTGTATGTAACAATGCTAGTGAGAGGGTAAGGGATTTGTCTATCCTGTTCTAACTCAGAATGATAATTTGCTCTGAACAGCAAGTTCAGTGCGGTTTTTGAAGTCACTGAGGATGTTTAGTCAGTTGAAGGTAGGCATCACCTAGATGCGAATTCTGATCAGTTCAGCAGAGGGAGACAGTACAAAAAATCATTAGTCTAAAACAGTATGTACCAAAAATGACTTGATACAATTTGGATAGATTAGGATTAGGATTTTATAATTGAAAAGGTAGATATAGTTGAAATTGATACAGATAGCATTCACCATGTTTTTGAGAGCTATCTTTTCTAGCCCCAGATCATAGAAGTAGGATTCTGTAAGATGAAATCTCTATCCTCAAGGAACATCAAGGAAACTGCAGTAAAGTAAGACAAAGAGATTCCCAAGCAGATAAAATATGACTGAGAAATAATTTATTTTATATGAATAAGGTGCAGTGGACTAGTATTTGGGCAGGGAGTTGTGCTACCTTTGCTAGTGGTCGGGGAAGGTGTTTGAGAAGGTGACTTTATGCATAGCCCTATATACTTGAAATGAAGTCAGCTATGCAGAGAATAAGTAAAGGCTGAATTGGGAGCAACTTGGGTATCTTTATGGGACAAAAGGCCAATGCAAGTATAACAAATTGAGAAAAACAAAAAGTGCTTGTGATCAGCTCAACAAGATGAGCAAAAAGAAGATTGTATGTGGACATGGTAAGAAGCATAAATATTCTAAGTATTATAGGTCACCAGTGGTGGATTTTAAGGTAGAGAGAAAGGGGTTCTGATTTACACTTTAAAAAAATGAGTCTGATTGCTTTCTGGAGAAACATTTCCAAGGGACAGGTTGAAACTAGAAAGGATTTTTAGGAGGTAACTGCAGTGTTACATACAAATGTAAAATACATCATCATATTTGCCATCTTTCTAGATTCCTTCCAGTTATCAAAGTCTCTTAGTGCTTAGAATGTTGAACATTAACACTTGTATCCATCTTGATTATCAACATAAAGACAAAGGCAACTGTGGAAATAGATGGGTCACATTAGGGAGCACTGTGGTGCTAAGGATGTGTCCCCAGGTTGGATGGTGGATAAAGGAGAAAAGGAGCCAAGGAAAGATTGTTGCCATATGCTGTTGTTCCTGCTTAGTCTGTGTTAATTGGAACACTGTCCACCTCTATCCTCTTCCATTCCCTACTCCATCCCATATTTGCCATCTTTGTAGACTCCTACCAGGTATCGTGATCTCTGTGTTTAAAAATGCAGAACATTGTTACCTGTATTCATCTTTTTCATAAAGTTGTCATGTGTTAAATTAGAACATGCAAAATGTGCGTGTTTTTTTATATCTTTCTGGTTTTTAGCTTAAATATATTTACATGCTTATTTGTACTCCATTTTTCCCTCTACTACAAAAGTCTGATAATTTGAATACTAGTTTTGCATTCCTCATTGTGTTACAAATTTCCTTTTTAAAATGCAGTCATTCAGTCATCACTAAAAATGAACTTTTTGCCAGCTAATATTGCTGCTTTTCTTTCATGTAATGAGTATTTACTGACTGGATTCAAAGCTCTGGGGTAGACACTGAGGATTTATAAATACCTGATGTAAGTGCTGGCTTCAAGTAAAAGCATATATAAACAGACTGAAAGAAGTATAGTGGGAGATGAACTGGATTCTTTTCAGGCCATGGTTCATCTTTTTCAGCTGTGCAGTCTGGTGAGGAATCTATGTTGTGAAGGTAACGGGAGGACCAGGCTGACACCATCCTCAGTTCATGAGATTCGTCATTTCATCAGTACAATAAAATGTCCATACATTCCACATCTCTGTAAGCCCAGACACTTTCTCCTCAGTGATAGAGTAAATGTCTGTTTTTGGTCAAACACTAAGCAAAGCGATTGATTTTTTTTTGAAAGAACATGTTTTGAAAAAAGCTCCAATTTTCAGCTGGTAAAATCCTACTCTGCATGTTTATACTGTCGGAGGCTGAGGAGCTCTGACTCTATAGAGCAAATGTGTACTCAGTCCAGCTCATCATGCTCTTCATACTCAATTTCTTCTCTTTCCGACCCCTGCCTGTGTTGGTCCTCCCATCTTCATTAACAGTACATTTACCTGAGCTTCAGTGTTCACGCAGCACGACTCTGCTGTTGGTGTGTTCACAGCACTTGCTGCCTTTTGGCTGAAGCACAGACTGTGTTACAAATAATAGAAAAAGGTAACAGTTATGAGAGTCGGACAGAGGGAGATCAGGTTTTAGAATATCAAATTTATGACTCTTGCTGAAGCACTCTTGGTGTGTAACTAATATCTAATTGGTGCTTCATCAGGACCTTTCTGGCTGTTAAATAAACAGAATTTTGGATGATAAGAAAAATGAAACAGTATGATGAATTCTAGATGGTTTAGTCATAAAACTAGCTTAAGTACTGAGCAAAGAATTTCTCAGACTGTGTCGTAGTTAACTCTTCTCAGCATCCCACAGTTAGTTCGAGGTGGAGCTAGGATTTGCACCTGTATCTGTCTTCTGTGAAAGTATGTAAATTAGTCTGTGACACATGACTTGTTTTGCAGGAAATTTTGAGGAGCCAGTTAAATGGTAGGCCAGAGCTGTTTAGAAGCTGACTGGGGAATCCTTTAGCTAGTGGTTTCTTACAAAATGTATACTTTTAAGCCTAGCATGTGAAATACCTCAGATCCAACCAACTCCCATTTTTCTTGAATTTTCTATTTATTTTTGCCGCTTAAACCATCTGAAACATGAATTGCAATTTTTATACCTCTCCTTCAAAAGAAAAGAATCAGCTAAACAGAAATAGAATGTCTATATAGTCTTTGAATTGTTTTTAATGATTAAACACTATGAATCTACAATTTGTGCAAGGGATGGTGGTGGTAAAAGGTTTTGTAATTCATTGATATTTTAGTCTAACCAACTAGAGTGCAAACAGCATTTACTTGTACCCTTTCACACACTAGCCTCTCCAGTTTCTTTTCATTCTTGGATTCAGTAACTATTGTTAAGGGCTGAGTTGATATGCAGAAATAGTGCTGGGTAAAAATGATTTGATCACTTCTCGGACTGCTAAAAATGGAAAAATAAACAAAACATAATTTTTTTAATGATGAAAGTGTTGGTAAGAAAAAATAGGGTTGCACAAAGAAAAGCACTTTTGAGAGGAGAATTTCAAAAAGTTTTACTGAAATAGTATGATAACTCCACAGTCTCTTACCTAGACTTTTTTGGCCAAATATTTTTTTCAACTAGAATCTTTGGATTTAAAAAGGATTCTACCCTCCAGGCAAGCTCTGTTTCGGTATCTTGGAATCATTGACATTAATGAGCTAAACGATAGCCCTCGTGTCAAGTTTCAACCCAAATACATTTGTGCAAAGTTTATGAAAGGTGGAATGTAACAGCTTGTGAACCCATATTTGCATTGAGTAATTTAATAATGGGAAATGATGTTATCTCCTTATTACCTACTAATTTGTCATTGTTTTGAGAATGAATTACCTGTGCTTTTTACAAGCAAACATTACTCAGCACGTTTGGTTGTTGTTGTTTGTTTTTTGCTGCATTTTCAGTTCTGATTTGGGCCTTTAAGAGCCCTGCAAATCCATAAAGTCCTTTAGTAGAAGTCACTTAGTAAATATCTTCTTCCAATTTCTACAGCCAGGGAATTTTACAAAATATTGTACTTCACATTTTTCCAAATACCTCCTATAATGGCATAAGTTAAAAGAATCCTCATTATGTTTATTTCTTTCATAATACAGTGAACTT